GCTATATACCTTCAACTGATAGATAATACTCACCACTTTCTAAAGTAGTTATGTTGACTTATACTCCAGTATAAGGGGGTGAGAGATTCCTATTACGCTCCAGGTCTACAATACCTACGGCTGTTAGACTTTATTTTTTGCCAATCTGATAGAAGTGTAGTGGCATCCCATATTGGTTTTAATTAATTTTTTTCTGATTACCTATATAATTGATAACTCTCTCATATTTATTGGTAACTTAGATTTCTTTTTTGGTGAGGTTTAAGTTAGCCATTCTTATTTTTAATTCTTCTCTATTTCTAAATAACATACTTATGTGACTACTACATGACTGAATTTTAGACATTAACTTACTGCTTTATTAAATATAATTCATTCATATACTTTCTTATGCCCACTCCTCTCAATACAGTTGTATTACCATTAGTTTTTCCATTGGTCATGATCCCTTCAACTTCTAACAATATACTTTAAAGATCTGAATTGTTTATGAACTGTACCTCTCTCAACATCCTGCTTTATAAAATGACAACATATGTGCTTTTGTTCCTCTTTCCAGCTACTTGTCCACCTTCCAAACTTAGCTTTTACACTGTCAAAGTTAATATTTATATTCTATTCAATGTGCATAGTTAAGCTGTTTTTTGAGAGATAGTATTGAGTTCAAGAGAACAGGCAGAAAGCCTGAGCTCAAATCCCCGAGCCAACCCTAAATTAGGTACAATTTGGGCAAATTTCTTCCCTGTCTTAACTTCCTTTTCTGAAAAGTGGGAATGATATTAACACCCACCACATAAGATTATTCTGAGGATTAAATGAATTAATACATGCAAAACAGGACAGTGCTTAACACATACTAAGTCCAATATAAGTTAGTTATTATTGCTATTATATGTAAATTGCTAATAAAAGCTGCAAACCAAGACAGTATTTCCATTATTATAATTAAGTTCGTATTGCCTACTGCTAAGTTATACTGTGTCTCTGTGTACATACAGGTACACCATCTTTTACAGTTTCAGGGCCACAGCTCTTGAGTAGGGTGAACACATATCTCAAGTTGCCCCGATTGTTCTAGTTTGCACCCCTTGTCCTGATGTTCACGTGACTAGCACCTCCTTACACTACTAAAAAGTGTTCTGCTTTGTTCAATGAATTAGACAGGTAGTCATCTACTGCTGTGCCACTGAAAAGGGGGGCAAGTTCAAGTGGATTCCTCCCTTTTGTATACCAGTGGCAGCTCAAAAATCTGCCATAGTTTAATTTGCTTTATGTTTGTGCCAACACAGCTTTCTTCCCCTCTGGAGTTTGATTCCCTCCCCTCCCTTTCTCACTCCTCTCTCTTCTCCCCTCCCTTCAAACAGTACCTAATACCCAGTAATACGCCTCCAGGTTTTTTAAAGCTCTCAATCACACAATTAATGCAAGCCTCTCAAATCTAGACGGGTTGCTCTCTGCATTGAATCCACTAATCCCCGAACATCCTATTATCTTCCTTCTTGGTTTATTCCCTCATTTTGCAGGATTGCATTTTCAAATAACAAGGAAAGTTGTAGCATAGGTGGTAAACTTTCAAATTTGTTTATGGGCAAAACATACTATTTAGCCCCCACCTATGACTGACCAGATATGAAACCCTAGGTTGAAATTTATTTGCCTATAAAACTTTGGAGGTATCTTTCTAATGCCTTCCAGGATCCATGGTAGCTGATGAGAAGTATGATAAATTCTGATTTTTATTCTTTTTTAGGTGGCCAGTATTTTTCTCTCTGTAATTTATCTCTTTTCTCAATATCTTGAAATTTAATAACGAAGAGTATCTATTTATATGCATCCATTTTCATTCATCTTGCCTAATACCTGGATAGCCCTTTTCAGTTTGAGGTCTGATGTTTACATTCAGCTAAGGGAAATTTTTTTTTTTTTTTTTGATAATTTCTTTCTATCCATTTTTTTTTTCCTGTCCTCTCTTTCTTCTAGTAACATGTTGGACCTCCTAGATGTAGCCTCTCTACCATATCATTTCTGTCATATTTTCCATTTCTTTCTGTTCTATCTACTGAGAAATTTTCTTAATTCCTACTGAATTTATTTCAACAATCATACTTTAATTTCCAAGAGATCATTTTTGCTTTCTGATAATTCCTTTTTAAACAACATCCTATTCTTATTTTACAGACACTATATCTTTTAAACCTCTCTAAGGATGCCAAATAGGATTTTTTCTTAAAGTATTTTTGTTTTCTTAATTACCTGTGGTCCTACCAGGACCTATTTTTAATCTTTTTTTCTTTTCCTTGTCATGTTGTGCGTTTGACTCAACTATCAAGTAAACCATGGTTATTATCTATTTAAGAATAAGACAGCAGAAGCTCAGTGGAAGCCGATGACTGGCTTCTCATATGCATGAAGAAGTGGGTAGCCAGATACGGCAGGATATCCCCAGCTACCCTCTTCTAGGGGACAAAATCCACAATAGCTACCCTAATTCTCCCCAGATAGTTTACTGCTTTTCAAAGTCAAATTATCTCATTCCAGGAGGGTAAAGGGGGAGCTAGGAGTCAACTCCTCCATATAAAAACTGTCAATAAGCTCCCTCTACTTTAGTCACATTTCTAATTCCCACCGTCTCTCCTACAGGCACATTTGAACATGGAGCTGTTTCTGCAGGGAGGATTAGATTCGCTTTGAGCTATAGGCTGCCCTGTACACATTCTCAGTGATGGTTTTCCTTTGTTCGACCGATTAGATTTCATAGTCTTCCACTTGTCTTCTGCATTTCAAAATATGTTCAAATCTCTTCTGTTTTCTTGATTGTTATGGGTTTACATATTTAAAACTTTTTGATACCATCCTTTTATGGGGTTCTCAAAATGGAAAGAGCTGAGAATGTTCTCAGTGTATCTTGAATCGGAAATTTCTTAGTTACAGTTCCTAACCTTCTTGTTCTTCCCCAATGGCTATCATCACCTTTAGAAATATAATCGCCTAGTCCCCTGGTAAAAGAAATGAATACAACACATTTAAAATGACAATGAATGCAGATTAGATGATCTAGCATTTTGTCTTTACTCTGCAATTTAGTAATAAACCACTTAGGTGCTATAAACTGTAAGTGTTCATTTAGAAGATGAAAGGGGGAATTCTACATGATCTATAGATTCCTCCCTAACATTTTATAATATTGTAAGTACTTATCTTAAAATTTCACTATATAAATATCATTAATTTTAATTAGAAAATGAAAATCTGGCTTTTTTGAAAATCAAATAGTGATATGTAGTCATATAAAAATAAGCTAACTGCCATTCCACCATGTGAGCACACAGCAAGAAGGTGCCATCTATGAAGCAGGCCCTCACCAGACTCCAATTCTGCCAGAACCTTGACCTTAGATTCTCCTGTCTCCAGAACTATTAGAAATAAATTTCTGTTCTTTACAAGCCCCCTCACTTTAAAAAAAGAAAGGGGGCCAGGCGCGGTGGCTCACGCCTGTAATCCTAGCACTCTGGGAGGCCGAGGTGGGTGGATCATTTGAGTTCAGGAGTTTGTGACCAGCCTGAGCAAGAGCGAGACCCCGTTTCTACCAAAAATAGAAAGAAATTAATTGAACAGCTAAAAATATATAGAAAAAATTAGCCGGGCATGGTGGAACATGCCTGTAGTCCCAGCTACTTGGGAGGCTGAGGCAGTAGGATTGCTTGAGCCCAGGAGTTTGAGGTTTCTGTGAGCTAGGCTGACACCACGGCACTCCAGCCCGGGCAACAGAGTGAGACTCTATCTCCAAAAAAAAAAAAAAAAAAAGAAAAGAAAGGGGATAACTATTGCTATATTTGTAGATTTCATACTAAAAGAAAAATGTATTTTTAGAAATTAAATGTGGATTTTGTAGTACATAAAAAAAGACAAGGCCTCCTAAAATGGTGTTTCCCTTACTACAATTTATCATCTATGCATTAAAGTTGAAATAAAATAAAATACAGTATTTTTGAGGTGCAAAAATTATTATAAAAATAGATTTTTCTTTTCTGTGCATACATAGAAGTACGGAATGACTTTAGATGTCAGGTCCATTAAGCAATATAACGAAGCTTCTTACAATTTTTTCTTTTATGAAAGGAGACTATCATATCAAAACTTTTTTTCAACTTCACT